ACAAACTGCAAAGAGGTATGTGTGCAAATTTTTCAAAGGGGTGACCTACGGTTTCTGTAGAAAAATAAAAAAAGATTGGAAATAGATTGAGCGAGGTGTTAAGCGAGGTGGTTAAGGTTGGAGGGGGTGAATTTCGGTTCGCACGAAAATTTGCAAATTCTTGCGTAAAATATGGCGAAAATATAAATTCGTCTTTGCGTGAAAAGGACCGGTCGACGTAGCGGAAGAGAGAGAGAGAGAGAGAGAGAGAGTGTATTTTTGAATTTCTTTTCCCGCAGAAATCTCAGGCCCTCCTCTTCGAGATAAAAGAGATACGTATCTTTTTACAGTTTTGATTTGTGGATTACTGAAAAAAAAAACAGCGCGCTTCCTGCTGCGCGATAGAACATTTCCAAGCATTAATCTTCAGACTGCACGATAAAAAATATAACACGGTGGCGGAAAGGTGCTTTCCGAGGGAAAACCTTACGCCGCTCGAGCCGCATCAGCCACGATTTCATCATGCCACGATAAACACCCAAAAAAACGTCTCTCTTGCCTTTATAGATCAGCCGTGGTTAAAGAGGGAAATTTCATACCAGATAATATGATTCCGCGCGAGAGAGGGGGTGAGAGGGGGCCGAAGGGTGGCGGAGCGCCAAAGTTCCGCAGTGCGCTTTGTGCAGCAGCCGGGCGATTCAGCGAAAGCGATGTATTTCCCCCCAAATTAATTAGTCGAATGTGTCGAAGCATCTCTCTAGTTGGTCTCACCCTTCACCCCCTCCCCCTGCTCTTCTCCGTGAAAAATCGGAAAAATCGCTCGACGGTTATCTATAACGCGTGAAAGCGCAATGTCGAAACGCGGACGGACTCAGGCACAGCAGAAACGGACACGACGGAGAAAAACGCGTCGCGTTTTTCCGACGATACCATCGGAAAGCCGCGCGGTCGCAATTTCGCGGGAAGAGGGAAGAGGGAAGAGGGCAATCTGCTCACGGATGAACGAGTCGCCGATTCGCGGAGGACCGAGCGAATCCGACGCGAAATCGAAATCGAGAGCGACCGCGCGAAAATGCCGCGCTTCGTTTACCGCTTTTCGCCGGACCGCGGGATATTGTTTACCGGCACGACAGAGCGCTTTGCATTCCGCCCGACGGCCCGGTGTCGCGTAATTAATTAGCGCGATATGTTTTCTAATCGGAGGTATCGTCGAATCGATGATCCCCTCCTTTCTCGCTCTTTTCATCTATTCGTCCATCTCTCTCTCTCTCTCTCTCTCTATCTCTCTCTCTCTCTCTCTCTCTCTCTCTCTCGTTTGGCGTTTGCCGCTCACGATATCGAATCCGCGGAGAGAGCGTTGCGTTAACCGTGCGCGAAGAGCGTTAGTTACGGTTCGCTGCGAGTCAATTATTTAATTAATTCAAATGGCGCGCGCACGTTGCGTACGCGAGCGGATCAAACGTTTCGCGCTGGCGTTTATTTTGCGATTTAATCGGCCGCTGCGCGATTCCTCCCTCCCCGCCTCTCGTTCGCCTCTCGCGTCCCCTCCGAGTTTTCTATCGATTGTCGCGCGATTCTTCTTCTTGCTCTTCTTCCTTCGGTTTTCGTCGTCGTCGTCATCGTCGTCGTCGTCGTCGTCGTCGTCGGTGTAGATCTCAGGACACTCCACATGGTTGATGAAGAACAGGAAAGAGGGAGAAAACGACTCTGCCCGACACCCCCCCCCCTCCTATTTTTCATCTATCAGCCGCTTCCCTCCGCCTCCCGCGGCCACCCGTGAGGAGGAAAACGACGGTGTTTTTCCGCGATCGGTGATCCAATTAAAGCCCGATCGCGCATCTCGCGGCCGCACACCGGCGTCCCTTATCGATTCGCCGTGATTTCGTCCTGTGGGGCGGCCTCCCTGCCCGCCCTCCAGCGTTTTTGATTTCGCTGCTCCACGCGGGCCTTCGCCGCGCGACTCCGGGGTAACGCTTCGCCGCGTCGAATTAGGGGGTGAGCCGAGAGTACGGCGGCCTAACCCACCCGGGATCGTTCAGAAGAGACACGATGAGCAGGGGCTGAGCGTGAGAGAGAAAGATTGGGGGGGGGGAGAGGAGAGAAGTGAGAGGGACGAATAGACAAGAAGGGACGGCGGTGGCGACGGTAGCACGGGGTTCTTCTCTCTCTGATGTTTATTTTTTACTTGTCTCTCTCTCTCGGAAAAGAACGAGAGAGAGAGAGAGAGAGGGGGGAGGGAGAGGAGAAGGAGAGACAGCCGGACGCGTCCCGGTCGGGCACCCCAAATTCAATAAATATGGCCCCGCCGAGTAACAACGGCCACGTCGGATACGCTCGATACGTCTCCCCCCCCCCTCCCTTTGATGATCGCACGAGCGAAGAGCAGCGAAATACCGCCGAAAGATCGGCAGAAACGTCGCGGAGGAAACGGCGATTGATATGTTCGAATTAACGAGGATCCACTGCGGTAATCGCGATAATGAAATCGATAGAGGAGGAGGGGAAGAGTGAATTCGGGAAGGACCCTCCTCGGCGAAGTTGAAGAAGCCTCGTCAGGACGTTGGTGACGCGACAGGACGAGCGTGAACGCGCGGCGATCGCGGAAATTCTTATCAGTGCCGGGCCAGAGTGAAATATCGCGCGCTCTGCGAGGCGCGCGGATAGATTGAGACGTGGAATTAATATTAATGAACGAGAGAGAGAGAGAGAGGGAGAGAGATAGAGCACGAGGAATTAGCACAGCGCCTGCTAATTAAGGCGGAATTTACATTCGCATACTTTGCGTCCGCGAGATTTAATCACGAGCACTCTCCGACGAAGGTGGCCGCGCGGGCAAACGGTATTCGATTAAATTTCCCCGCGGAGGGAGCGAAAGAGAACGAAAAAAAGGAACAAAGAGGGAGAGAGGTGCAACGGCGACGTTTCCGCGGCAGCATCCGCGACGCGGACTAACACTCGCGGATTAATACCGTCGCATAAAAGTAATCGGTGGAGCGGCAGAAATGTACACGTCCGCCTGGCGAAAATGATCAGCCTCGCTGGCGCGCACGAGAATTTTCAGCTCGTAAAATCGCTCGATAATCGCGACATTGGCGGCGCGCGGTCGGCGCGTTTTCTTCTTTTGCATCATCCCCTTGTTTCTCTTTTTTTCCCCGCGAAACGGAATCGACGTCATCGAGAGAAAAAGAGAGAGAGAGAGAGAGAGAGAGAGAGAGAGAGAGAGAGAGAGAGAGAGAGAGAGAGAGAGAAAGAGAGGGAGACGCGAGAAGCCCCTCGCCTCGTGAAAACGGAACGAAGGCTGCCGGCCTCGGCTCGGGCGAAAGAAAAAGAAAACAGTCCCGGTTACGTCGTTAAGTCGATATTGCAATCGTAAAGTGATAGATAACAGTTTAATGCGCACACACGGCGCAATCCTCTGGCGCTTCTCTCGCGTCGGCTGCGGTCTAAAAGTAATACGTCGCCCGGAAGTAGGAGAGCGGGATTAGCCGGCCTCAAAGCGCTCGTCCGCCTGCGTCTCCGTCGTGCCGTTTAATCTCAACACTCGTAAACACGCTGTTGAGACATTCAGCCGGCTACGAACGCGGCGCGCCGCACCGTGCTGTGTCGAGCCAGTCCTCGTGCGCTCGTGTGAGATCCTCGGAGGATCTCGAGGACGAGCCAGCCCCGAATCCTTCTTCACCGCGCGAGAGAACGAGAGCTCAATCCGATCGAGCACCGTCGATCTCGATGGTCGACCTCCGTTTCATTATTGAACGATGTTCCATTATTGAATTTTTTTCCGACGGTAGATTTTTTCAACAAAGAACGCGCGCGGCTGCTCATAAGATTTCAGAAATTGCTCTCTGCGTCTCTCGTTGCAAACAACAAATACCAAGTACTTGAAACGATACTTCGGTATCGGGGCTTTTTCGGAGATATTTGCTCGCTGAGAATGAACCTGGAGTAAATTTCTGGAGGATACGTTAAAAGTGAAATTATTCGCTGAAATTTTTCTTTTATGGGCCTAATTTGGCGGCGATTGAATCCGCCGCGCGAGGCCGACAATCGTCTTTCTTTTTTATCGTCGCGCTAAGTTGCACTGTCGCGCGCTCTCTCTCTCTCTCTCTCTCTCTCTCTCTCTCTCTCTCTCTCTTTCTCCGTCGAACTGAGACAAAGAAGTACTTGACACTGGCTGGGAGAGAGGAGGCGGTGGAAAAATTACGAGACAGTCGAGACGTGCCACTGTGATCAGGATCGACCTACTCGTCGACCTGCTCGCCGCCGTCGCCTCCCCTTCCGCTCCGCGAGCGACTTCGACATATTGTTATCCGCGCATTGTTGCACTCTCGTCGCGCTTTCAGCGGTTCGCGATGATACGCTTGGAGTCCTCAGACCTCCGCAACGGCCTCCCTAACGTGGAAATGAACATCGTGACGTCCGACGGGAGCGCCCTAATCGCATTCTTCCGGAGCGCCGGGAGATCAAGGTCCTCCTACGCAACGACTAATCGCGAGACGAGCGATGCGCGGCGGGTAATCGCTCATTTTCTACGCGCGTAAATAAGCGCGTGAAAAAACGGTCAGACCCCTCGCGTCACCTGCCGAGGACATCGGCGGGCGACGGCAGACGGAAAACTCGGTCGCAGGAGCAGAACGACCGCGAAGCCGAGCGCCCAGAAAACACACTCCGCCGCTCCCTATAACACCTCCCTATGAGTTTTTCTCCTGGGGTTTTGCCCTGTCCGATCGCGAAGCGGGGTCTATTTTTCTCCGTCCGCAACGGACGATTGCCGCGGGGAGCTTCGGATCATCAACCGACTGCCACCCCCTGCCCCCCCGCCCCCGCCCCGAAGTTGCCCCCCGACCGGACCTTTCAGAGACGAGCGAGCTCGGCCGCGATGGCGCAGACGTCGCTTCCGGCGACCTCCGAGTCCTCGATCCTCCGACTCGATCCGATCAAGCGAATCGCGAGATCTGCCGAGCGTGTGGCGTTTGTTAAGGCAAGGCGTTCGTCGCAGGCGAGTATCGTGAAATGCCACCGACCTTTGCACTCGTTGGCGTCCCTGGCGGTGGCTCGCGCCCATGGCCGGTCGAAGTGGAAGGGCCGGCAGCGCTCGCAGTCCCTGCCGGCGGTGTTGTGTCGGCACTCGCAGACGACCTCGCCGTCCTTGCCGGGGATGCACCTCGCCGCGTGGCCGTTGCACTTGCACCTGCCGCCCACGGCGAAGTCCGAGACGGCGTAATGGTGGGCCATGGTGGCGGCGACCGGGCCGACCGCGCCGCCGGCCGCCGCCACCAACACCGCGACGGTCGTAGTCGTGGCGGCGGTGACCGGCACGAAGCCCATGTCGCGGACCGCGGCGTCGAGCGCGTCGTTGGACTGCATCTCCTGCGGCGCGATCACCTGGTGCACCGACGGCACCGCCGTGACGAGCGGCTCGCCGTGCAGGATCGCGTTCTTCTGGCTCTTGAGTCGTTCCTCGCGTTCGCGCTCGCGCTTCGCCAGCTCCTCGAGCCCGAGGGCCGACGAGCTCCCCATCGGGGAGGAGTGATGGTCCTCGGCGTTGCCGAGATGCGACGACACCACCTGCTGCTGCTGCTGCTGCTGCTGCTGCTGCTCCTGGCTCGGCTGCTGCGGCATGTGCAGCCGATTGAACACCACCCTGATGTCGGTGGCGGTGACCCAGTCCTGCAGCACCGGCGAGTTGTCGAAGTCGTTGGCCGACGGGCGGCCTTCCAGGGTGCTGAAGGCGATCCTGCCGACCGGGCCGAGGCCGTCCCCGCCGGTGTAACGGTGGCTGTCGGTGCAGCGCGCCTCTTGCTCGTTCGACTTGGTGATGGTCGCGCGATTCGGCCGGCCGTAGACCCGCCGGCACTGCGACGAGTAGAACTGGAACGGCTGCCAGGTCTTGCCGTAGTCCATCGACTTGTAGATCGCGATCGAGTCCGGCTTGGCCGCGCGCGGGCAGAACTGCAGGCTCACGTACGTCAGCTCGTACTTCTTACCGAGCGAGAGGGTGAGGGTGACGTTGTCCGGCGGCGCGGAGAAGCTCTGCGAGCTGACGAGCGGCTCGCTGCGCCAGCACGTCACGTTGTTCGGATTGTTGAGGTCGGTGAGGTAGCTCGCGGGGAAGCGTCGCCGGGGTGTGCTGTCGTCGCACACGTGGCAGTGGCCGAAGCCGCTGGTGCCGCCGGGTTGCTCGGTGACGTCGCAGTAACGGGTGGGCCCGCCGGTGCCGCATGTGGACGACGCCTCGACGGACGCGCCGAACGCCGCGTTGACGAAGTCGGGGATGCACCGGCGCGGCCGGTCCTCGTCGTAGCACGGGTCGGTCGGGTTCTGTTGGCTGGAGAACATCTTGGTGTAGATCTCGCCGCGGCTCGGCCGCGATTGCAGCAGCAACGTCGTCGCGAAGAGCACGAGCCAGCCGCGGCCCGAGCACGTTGGAGTACTCCTTCTCGCTTTCTTCATCCTCGTCGCCATCGTCGCCGTCGTCGCCGCCGTCGCCATCGCCGTCGCGTTAGCGATGATACTCGTCATCATTGTCACCATCACCTTCGCCCGTCTGTGGCGCGCGCGCGCGCGCGCGCGTTCAAGGTGCTGTTGTGCGATCGGGCTAAGCTTGTTCAGAGTGGGTGAGTAGAGAGAAAGAAAAAGAAAGAGAGCGAGAGAGAGCGAGAGAGCGAGAGAGAGAGAGAGAGAGAGAGAAAGAGAGAGAGAAAGAGAGACAGAGAGAGAGAGAGAGAGAAGAGAAAAAGACCGCCAGACTCGCTCTGATTATATGCCCCCTTCGCCTTCTTCCTCGTGAGGGAAGAAGGATTCGTGATCGCAGAGATCGCAGAGAGGTCCTACAGCCCGCTTCGCGTCATGTCGACGTGGCTGGCGTGCAAACGCGCGTTTCGCTTTCTGTCTGCTTTCCGCTGCCTTCTTTCTCGCACTACTCACTACGGAGGGACCGGCTCACATAATCATTGCCGTGACCGCGAAAGACGACGCGCGCGATCGCGATCGCGATCGCGACCGATCGAGATCGGTCTGCCCGAGTCCGCTCGGAGCGCGCGCGCGGCCCGTCGACCGCGCTGGTCCCCCCCCCGGAAACCGCGTACGCGGAGCGCTCGCACTGGAGGACAGCTTGTCCGCCGCGGGCCGTCCCGCGCGACACGACTCACTCCCGAGCTGAAGAAAGATGCAGAGCGCGAGGAGCGGGAAACGCGAAAGGTGGTGGACAAGGTCGCGAAGGAGGCTGCTGCTGTGCGCGAACTTTCACCCTCGGAGGTGCTCGCGCGAGAGCGAATTCGGCCGATCAGTTTTGAGGGGATCTCGTGCGTGTGTGCGTCCGCTGGCGAAACCGACGACAAAGGCAAACCCTACCTCGACAGCGGCTCGCCGCTAACTGAAACGCCGTCCTCGCACCGTGCGCATCCGAACTGCTCGCGGCGAGTCCCTCTCCGGTCGCGGGTCCCCTCCACCCTGAGCGGCCCCCTGTGCGTGGCACCCCCGCTCACGCCGTCTTCGTCCGACCGACGACTCGATGTTCTCGCTCACGCTGCCGCGGAGGCAAGCGGGCCAATCGGACGGCGCGGCCGTCGTGACCCCCACGCGACCCTACGCGACGACGAGGACGACGGCTCCGCGACGCGGATCCGAGCGCGGAGGGATGCTGCGTGATCGCCACCGGACGGACCGGGGTCGCCGGACTGCCCGCGAGGGTGCGAACGCGGAGACGTATTGGGTGCGTGGCTTTTTGTTTTTTCTCTTTTTCTCTTTTCTTTTCTTTTCTTTTCTGTTCCGTACTTTTTCTTCCCTCGCCGTCGCTCTTCTCTTATCTTCTTGCGTTATTCTTCCGCCGTCGCGGCCGATCGTTTTCTCCGTTCCGTTTCTCGACAGGGCTTTAAACGTTAACCTGTTGGTTCGCTTGGCCGCGGGATTATGTCGCTTTTTAATTGCACGCCGACCCGCGCAGGAGGAGATTCAACGAGACAAACGCGAGTGTGACCGCGGCGCGAGACGAGATTATCCTTCCGTCTCTCCCTCCCCCGAGTGTAGGGAGATTTGGAAGGGGTGGCTTGCGCGATATTTTACTCGCGAACACGCGACGTCCCTCAACCCTCGACAGCTGCTACGTTTCGGGAGCGAGGAGATTTCGTCGGCATCGTCTTGCGGAATCATTTGGGATGATTCGGTGAAGGAGGACGATCTTGTATAATTTGCGCTCTGAAAGGAGTCTGTCGACGTAACGACGAGGAAAGGGAGAGAGAGCGAGAGAGCGAGAGAGCGAGAGAGAGAGAGAGAGAGAGAGAGAGGCGTCTTTTTCTCCGGGTTAAAGCCCCTTGTTAAAGCGACGTGTTCTCATTTCGTGCGATTCGTCTCTCGGGATCTCCCGTGAGAGAGAGAGAGAGAGAGAGAGAGACGAGGATTTTCCTACGCGCGCGCGCATATTATACGTATAATGACGCGCGACGTTGTTCAACGTCGCAGCGTCGTCTTTGCTGACGCGCATACACATATATTAGTTTGTCTTTTCCCATATTACCAGCGCCCGCCCGTGTATGTTCGGGCATAATATTGTTTGATGCAATCTATTCCCGTTACACGCCGCGAGGACACGTCCCTCGCCGGGACGCCTCGTCTCTGTTTGATTAATTTGACGGCTGCGTTCGCCGCGACTCATCGTCCCTTTCTTCCTCGCGAAGCACAAAGGTGGTGGTGGTGGTGGCCGAGGCGCGAATAATTCCGCGGTGAACGATTCTCGCCGGCGCGGCGCGACCGGCGCGGAAAAGAGACGACACCGGAATTCATACGCGAAAGTGTTGGCGCTCAGGATGTTTCCCTCGATCGCGCGCGTACTATCGAGGTCAGACCTCGGGGCCCCCAGTCGAGGTCAGACCTCTCTCGGGCCCGGAGCCCTGAGCCGGGCTGGAATTGTCTTGGAATTTTTCCGACATTTTTCATTTCGCCTGATTAAATCCCTCGGAGAAGCATCTCCCGGGCAGCCGCCGTGCTCGCAAAGTTCAAGTTCGACGGGCCGACACCTCCGACGGTGATTATCGCCACGCTCAACGATTGCGTTCGTTAACGAACCGGCCGTGAGGACGGCGTTCATCGAGACCGGCGCGGTGTGTCCGCGCCGATGAAGCGGTCGGCGGACCGGGTCCGCGTCGCTCGTCAATGGGACACGTTCATTGAGGGAAGCGGCGAGCGCCGCGAGCGGATCGTAAAGAATGCTCGCTTCTCCGCCGGCCCGTCGGCGGGCGGGCGGGCCGGAGGGGAGGGGGGGTCTTTCGGGGAATTTAGCCGCGGATTATTTCACGGTGATCCCCCGCGGGCGAGAAGGTTCCTCTTCCGTCGATTTCTCGTCGTGAGAGGACCGGTGCCTCCTGCGTGCGGGGCTTATAGAGCGAGTTTTCTGCCGCTCGATTGGACGGCGAGGTCGAATTGGCGGTCGAAGGAGAGGAGGAGAGCGGGAGCTACAGAGGGAACGAGATGCAAAGGTGAGGGAGAGGGAGAAAAAGCGAAGAAAAAAAGGGCGGGTGAGAGAAAAGGAGAGACAGAGAAGGAGGGGGAGAAAGTCGACGGAGGTGGGACGGAGAGCGCGCGGAGAGAGAACAGAGAGAGAGAGAGAGAGAGAGAGAGAGAGAGACAGAGAGAGAGAGAGAGAGAAGCGCAGCTCCGTTCGCCGTCACGCGAACTTCTGTTGGCCTCAACGTGGAAAGGCCTCGTTGGCTCGTCCGATTTGACAGGCCGAAATCTGCTATCGGACATGATAAATATAGGTCCCGGGGAAATATAAGTCAGTCGCGGATCTCGGCGCTGAACGAGTCCGCGCGCCGCGGCGGCATCCGAGCGGTATCCGTTGTGTGACTTTTGAATTATATTTCCTTCTTCTGCCTTTCTTCTGCCTTTTGCTTCTTCTCCCTCGCTCTTTGCTTTCCGCCTCTCGGTGGGTCGCGCGAGTTTCGGTTTCGGCGAGCGGCCACCTTTTTATCAGCGGTGATTCCAGCGTCGAAGAGAAGGGTTGGCTGAGAGGGCAGAAAGAGAGAAAGAAAGTGATAACTGTGAAGGTACTATCTCGGATGACTCCTCGCCGATAGCTGGTCGCGCACTTCTCCTCTAGGATCTTCGTCTCGTCGAGACGTCTCGAGCAATCCACCGCGCATTCTTGTTGAGACGGCCGCGCGTCCGTGCGCGCGTCTCTCTTTCTCTTTTTCTCTCTTTTTTTCGTCTCACATTCGCAACGCAACGCAACACGGCCAGCCGATTGAAATGGTGCGCGCGTGCGTTGATTATTATGTATCCGCCTCTTAATCGCATTACGTTTATGCAGTCGCGCGATACTGTCGCGCGTACTTGAAACATGCCACCCGCCTCCCCCCCCCCTCCCTTTGACACACTTCGCGTGACTTATCATGAAAATATATGTAACGAGAAATGGCAGTGGAGATTTGCACTCGGAATCGCGTTAACATAATTTCGCAAGCATGCTCGGTCACGAGGAAACATATGGGAATGTCCCACAGCGCGGCGTTTGCGATTACGATGCGGAAAAAAACGTTGCGGTAAAGACACACGTGCTTTTTTTATACGTGTTTTTTCTCGTGCGTCTTCAGGCGTTGAAGCTGCACTTTGGCGAGATGCATCGCGAGCGATCGACCACGAAATCGTGCGCGAGGAACGCGGAAACGATTATTCCTCCTTAGGTCGAAACTCTGTGGCGTTTGACGACGCGCCTTAAAAATGCGCATTTCGAATTTTCAAGCGCGACTCATTTTCTACCGTCGCGTGACATCGTCGGAAAGAAAAGAAAGTGTTAACGTGCACGACGAGTGACACTTCTCTCTGAAATATTTGCTCACGCAGTTCGCCGCCGCATTCGCCGTATTCGAATAAGTTTATCAAGAAATCGGCGGGCGAGGCGTTTCCTCGTGTCATTTCCTCATTAGATATACGAGACGCGCTCGAGCCAGTCCTGGCTCGAGGCGTATCGCTCTGAATATTTGCAGAACAGAGCGGAGAGACTCTCTCGCCACGGGAGAAAAGTCGGCGACGCGAGAAAGAAAGTCGCGCTTGAGAGGCTTTTGAGGGAAGTTGCGGAGCATTGGTGATTCTGCGAATCACGTCCCAGGGACGCGCGAGTGCTCGCCCGCGACGATAATTATTCTTGGGCTAATTTCAAGAGCAAACTTCATCTCGCTCGAATCTTGACTCACAGGGGACAGTCGACGAGGCTCCGGGGCAATCGAGCCGCGCGGCAGGCTCGATCGATTGCGCCGCGAGCGCGAGCGCGAGGCATTTCGCAGGTGAAAAATCCGCGCCGGCCGCCTCGGCCGGCGAGAGGAGAAACGCCTCGGCTGCGTCGAATTACCGCTCATTATCGGGCACGCGGCGCGCCGCGAGTCATAAAGGCGAGTATTTTCGCTGAGAAACGCGTGGCCGACGACGAGGGCTCGCGCGAGATGTAAAAGCCGCGTGAAAATGAAGAGCCGGGCCGCGGTTGGAGGGCACCCCGCGGTCTGAAGGGCGCCTATCGGAGAGGTGGCCGACGGGCGAAATATCCAAAAAGCGGAGGAGCCGCGCGCGAGCGAGGGACATAATTGCGGCGTTTTGGCCGCAAGTGGCCAGGATGCCTTCACGTGAAAAACGTGAAAAACGTGCGCGCGCTCTTCTTTCGCCGGCATTCAGCGGCCAGAATTCGGGCATCGGGTG